ATCTTCTTCGGTAGTTCATTTTGATACCTGACAAAAGAGGAAAACAAATACAAAAAATTAAGTATAGTTTACGATGATCCCATCATCACATAAAAAGATATATACAATGAAGTTAACAAGTATAGAGGTATACTAAGAATATTCACACGTATAATATGTATATTATATATGTCAATGTGTGTGTATGTGTATGCGAAAAGAAGAGGGTATGTATGCGTAGAAATCAGAAATACGCGGAAGATGACGCAATTGTGTGGTCGAGTAGAATGCATGAAATCGTCGATTAGGAGTAACACCGCGTAAAGTGGTTTCCTCGTATCCGGTTTGAGATCGAGGAAACGCGCGTGGAACAACTACGACAACGACGTGCAAGTTTAAAAAGGACTATGACTAGTAACTATATATATATACATATATATATTATTATACTTACATACTATCTTACTTTTTATCCAAGTTGTAATCAAGAATGGTTTTTGTTATCGGTTTTTAAAGTAGAAGGTTTTTGTGCATAATAACATTCTCTGTTCTTTTTTTAAACTTCAGTCGAAGGATAGAAAAAAAAAAAAAAAAAGTAAAAAAAGAACGAAGTTAAATAATTTTTCTTTTCTTTTGTAATTTACATTGAAAAAGTATTACCTACCATTGTGTTTCATTTTAGTAAAATATTGAATCGTTTGATAATTTCAAATACATTTTTTTTTTTTTTTTAATATTATAATATCAATTAAAACTTGGACAATTTTTACATTTAATTAACATTTCAAGATTAATCATTGTGTATTGTAACAAGCAAATGAACAATCAAATAATCGTACGTGTCTAAAGAAAGAATGAAATTTTACGTACAAGATTATTAAATTTTATATCAATATATTTTACACACCTTATAAAGATTGATCAAAATGAAATATAAGAATAGAAAAAAAAAAAAAAAAATAGAAAGCGTGTGAAGGGGAGAAAAGAATTCTTAGTAAAGTTTTATGCTCTTTAACCATCTCTGCAAAGAGACCGAGAAGAGTATAACTCACTTGGTAGAAAACTTACTCACAATGCGAACTGATATAGTGTTTTTAAACTTCAATAGTATCTGACAGGAAAATACGATGAACAAAGAAAGTAGTATACCAACAGCTTAAGAAAAAGCTATAGTAATAGTATTTACACAGCAGAGTTATGTGCAGTTGTAATTGTAGTGTAACAATAATAATAATAATAATGATAGTATAGTAATTATGACAGTAGTAGTTAGTATAATGTGGTGTAATAATGATAATGCAATAATTATAATAGTAATAGTGTAGAAGGAGTGATGAACTAACTGTAATAGTAATACAATAGTATTTATACAGCTTAGTTTTGTGTAATTGTAATTGTGATGTAATAATAATAACAATAATAATAATAATAATAATAATAATAATAATAATAATAGTATAGTAATTATAATAGGAGTAGTTAGTATAGTGTGGTGTAATAATGGTAATGCAATAATTATAATAGTAATAATGTAGTAAGAGTGATGAACTAATTGTAATAGTAATACAATAGTATTTGTATAACAGAGTTTTGTGTAATTGTAATTGTGGTGTAACAATAATAATAACAATAGTATAGTATTTATGATAGGAGCAGTTAGTATAGTGTGGTGTAGTAATGGTAATGCAATAATTATAATAGCATAGTAGTAGTAGTGTAGTAGGAGTAATACACTAATTGTAATAGTAATACAATAATTGTGACAATATAGTGTTGGTGTAATAATGATATAATAATAGTTGAGTAATACAATAATTATAATAGTAGTAGTATAATAAACATAATATTATAATAGTATGTTAAAATTTTGAAAGGTGATATACAAAGAATGAATATTAAACTTGCACATGAGTTCTTAATTGCAAACTTACTTCTCTTAATAAAAAAAAAAAAAAGTATGATTGATTTTGAAAAATGGACAGAAACTTTTGGGTTTACCCTCGAGTAATATTAACAAAGAGACAAAAGGAAGAGAGAAACCAACGAGCCATAACACGTTCGTTGTTAGATTGTCGTTTCAAGTGAACTTTCGAAGGGGAACAAAGAAGATGAGATATTAGGTAAGAGGGATGAGAATTTGTTCAATTTTCTAACAACAAACATTCTTTGTCGATTATTATAAAAATAAAAAAAAAAAATAAGAAAAGAATAAAAAGATAACAATTTTAACCAATAAAAAAAAAACTACAAATAGAAGGTAACTTTATGACAAAAAGAAAAAAAGGTCCGAAAAGGGTCAGAAATAAATTCTAGGATAGAGGACTTTTGAAAGTAAAAAATAGAAAAAGAATAAAGTAGTTTCTTTCGAATCGTTTTTCCTTTCACGAGGCCAGTGAGCAAGTAAGCAGCAAGCAAGCAAGCAAGCAAGCAGGCAGGCAAGAACGGAATGCCTTTTCAAGATAGAGCAACCGAGACTCCATTTTGAGAGGCGCGTTCACGGCTTACACAGAAAGCCGAGAGAAAGAAAGAAAGAAAGAAAGAAAGAAAAAGAGAAAGAAAAAGAAAGAATTATTCCCTACAAAAACAACCTTGACACAATCGGCACACTAACGCTTTAAAACGAGGATTATGTCCCACGCTTCTCTTCTCTTTGCGATATAGTGATTCAACCTGATCTAACACTAATACAATACACTGTATAACTGTGTACTGTTATACTTTAAAAATTTATCATGTAGATACGTTTATTATATTATTATTAAATATATTTTCTTCTTTTTTTTTTTTTGTAGAACATTTATCATAAGTGATACAGTAATATGTTTATATCTATATTTTACAAGGTTACTGCATAATTTTTTGGATAAACACAAAATTCCTAAAACATAACTAAATTTTGCGAATTAATCATTTTATTATTATTAAATTTTATTATTACAATTATTGGGTTGTTCGGGAAATTTGTGCCGATTTTCGATAGATGGTATTAAAATTCTTTTGCTAAAAAAACCTGAAAAGTTCTGGAAGCGTGAAATTTTAAAGTTATTATATAATTCTATTTATTATTTATTATTATATATTATATTATTTTTATAATTATATATATATATTTATATAATTATTAATATATATAATTGTATTTATTATTTTATAAATATATAACACACAAAAAAAAAACTTAAATGGGTTGCATTTCAATCTTTCGTCAAAATCGGCACGAACTTTCAGGACAACCCAATATTTTATTATAAAAATTTCTAAAAAACATAACTAAATTTTGCAAATTAATAATTTTATTATTATTAAATTTTATTATTATAACAATTATTTTATTATACTATAAAATAAACTCTTCAAACTTTTTCAAACGAAATTGAACTTTTCTATTGTCTGAGAATAAAATGAAAGTGTGTAGAACGTATAATAAAAGAAAAATAAAGTTATAACTAGATTGGACAAGTGCGAATTGTACCAATAAAACTGTATGTGGAAACCGATCATCCAACATTGAAAGATAACTTACTATTCTGTTGTTACGTAAGAAATATTGAAATTATTGCTTCAACTTTAAAAGACATTGGGATGAGAAGGGGAAATACAAGAAGGAATATATGTTCAAGGATCAAGTTCGATCATTTCTCAATAGTTCTTTGCTAATCTATCAAACTTGTTTTGTTTTTTATTTTTTTTTTTTTATTTGGGGGGGTTTTTAATTTTGTATAAAAGCAAAAATACTAAAAGACGATGCGATACGTGGTTGAAAATAGTTGTTGGTTAATCGCGATTGGCACTCAGCAAAGGAATTGACGGATAGTCGTTAGAAAGAGACAGACTGACAGATGGATGGATGGATGGATAGATAGATAGAAAGAGAGAGAGAGAGAGAGAAACGTCGATATTCAATTACAGGCCATTTGACCCAAATATTTTGATCGGTTTAACGAACTCGGAAATCGACAAAAAACTAGTGGACAGGATCGGTTCTGCTTGCCGGTGTTGCCGCCGCCGCCATCTTGCGAAACTTTTTTTTGTGAGGGGGAAGAATACAAAAATTGTGCGATATTTTTTTTTTTTTTTTTTTTTTATATTCTATTACGCATCGAGTAATTCTACAATTATTTGGAAACAAATTGATAAAAAAAAAAAAACATCTATATGCATACGAATCAAATTTCTTGCACAAGTTAACTCTCTCTCTCTCTCTCTCTACATTTTATTTTGTTAAATAAATTAAATATACAACAGAACACAATTTTTATACGGAAACAAAATTGAAAAAAAAAAAAAATTGCAATGAAAGTATTCGAATTACGCGTGCCTATTCGAAATTTAACAATATGGTCGCCTAAAAAAAAAAAAAAAAATTGGATGATGTTATGAAAGTCCGAATAGAAGAATGAAACCTTACAAATACAAACAACAAATCGTACGTGCCTTAACATATATTTGAAAACGTTCGAATGAACGTACGAACCAAATAATAAATCACAAAAGTTCGTGAAAATTCACTGGCAAAAAATAGAACAACGAACAATGCACCATTGGATCAATTCTTGTTTTCTTTTCAGTTTGAATTTAAAGAAATCGAGCTATTTAAAAATGGCGGTAGCGTTAATGGTGGTATGGTAGTGCTTATCAAACAACGAGGGTTATTTAAGCATCACCACTTTTCTAAGATTAATCAAAATAATTAATATTTAATTTAAATATCTTTTATTACAGCAATTATAATTTACTCTATAATCAAATTTATTTAAATATTAAATGACAACATTATCAATGTTGTCATGAAACAACAAAAGTTTGGTTAGAATTGTTGAAAAATTTCTCAGTAAATTTAATTATACATTAATTGAAAAGAAAAATAATGTGTAAATGTAATTGGTATTTTTGAAGAGATTCATTTATTTTGGAGTATCGTTGTCTCGTCACTACTTTTCGAGAGCTGACAACGACAACGCTCATTAGGATATCCGTTCGGCTCTCAGCAGCCATTTTTCTCGCATGTAACACGTTTAAAGCCAGTATATCTCTTTATCAACATCGTTTGATTCATGTTCGTGGTCATGTAACTATATATACATACGTATAAATGTGTGCATAAGTACATATATATATAAACTCAATGTAGTAACTCTTGCAGCTTGTTACTTTCAGACTACTACAGTAACAGTAACAACAGTGGGACGATAACTAAAGAATAAGACAAGTAGAAAGCTGGTTACAAGGTGGGCCGAAAGTTCTAAGGTGATTTTAAATATCAATTATTCCTTTCTCCGAGTCTAGATAAGATAATATTTTGAAATTATACAAATTCTATAAAACTTGTAGTTTTGCAATCTTAACAAAAATTATCCTAAATTATCTTTTAAAAGAACTCATTAATTTTCAAAAGCTTCTAATAACTTCTGAGTAATGTTATTAAAATAGAAAGTTCAAATTTAACGATAAAAATTCATTCTAATGGTCAAAGGAAATCGAGTGTGGAAAGAAATAATAAAAATTTCTGAATAAAAGAAAAATAAATGTTTATATACTCGGTTGATAAAAAAGCAAGTCGTTGTTATCGATAAAGGTAATTGCCCATTAAATATTCAAATTAGAAAAATAATTACAGAGTTAGGTGTTAATTAGTTATATCGTTATATCACGTGTTAATTATTCACATTGGTTAAATATGAAAAAAAAAAAAAAAGGTAAAACTGTTTATTTTTTTAAAGTGTATAAAATATATCAATGAACACACCGACACGAGGACAGTTCATTAAATTGTCGTTGAATGCACATAACGACTTGGTGTAACTTTGTTTTTGTGTTTTTTTTTTTTTATTTTAGTTTAGTTTATCACTGGACGTGTAACGGTCTCTCAGTTGATGTTCGCTTTCGTTTAATTCTTTTACATCAGCTGATACAGTAAAAACCGTTTATGCGTGTGTGTAATATGTTTTTGTTCTGTGTCCGTAATGATATAAACGAAGTTCACACACACCATCACATTTTTTATATTTTATTCTTCAAATTTGTATATATATAAATATATATATATATTTTTTAATTCCCATATTTAATCAAGTTTAATTTTATAACAGGAAGCATCGTTCGGAAGTAAAAGTGATTCGATTATCGTCATTAACGTTATTGGCATCGTCGTTAGGTTCTAACCAAACGTTGATCGTTCGTTCCAAAGAGGGAGCGAAGGAGAGGAAAGGGTAGGAAAGTAAAAAAAAAAAAAAATCTATGGAGAGAGCGTTAATGCAGAATTTAACGAAGGCTCTACACAACCTGCTTTTAATTAATTAAAGCAGACGTGACGCCACTGGAATTGAAGCTCGAGTTCTCGTGAAGCACACGACGTCGACAACTACTACGGACGACGATATGCGTACACGCGACGTGTCCTCACATCACGAATATTCGTGATGTCAAGGATGGTTCCAATTTCCATTTGGGTTGTTCCTAACATATATTTTATATTTTTATCTTTTTTTAAAGGTTGCAAACTAAAAGGAACTTTTTTTTTTCTTGTGTCAAGCATATGTGACAAAAAATATACAGAATTTTGCTTTTTCTTTTTATGAAGTAATCRTTAAACAAAAATGTAATTTTGTTGTTGTTGTTGTTTTTATTATCAAAAGATTATGAAAATAAATGTTCAATACCGTTTTTCATAAAATCCATGTCGAACTTTGATTATCGGATTTATTTATATATTCGTATCATTCATGATTTGTCGATTGTGAATTATTTATAAACGCGACTAATTTAAATATCAATATAGTAAAGTGGTTATGTGAAAATGATTGTTTTTGTAGAAAGGAGAAACACGTGCGCTTTACATTGATGAAGAAGAAGTAGTGTGTGGTAGTAGTGGGTAGTGGTAGTGTAGTGTAATGGTAATAAGAATAGGAGTGGGAGGTTAAGCTATTCCGATAGTGGAAAGGGGAAGAAAAATGACGAAAGCTAATCGCAAGAAAAATATAGTTCTTTGAACAAGATTAATAATAAAAAAATAAAAAAAAATAAAAAAAGAAAAAGAAAAATACTTCGGGCATTGACAAAAACGCAAATGGACGTGTCCTTTGCAATAATAAAAACCAAATAGAAGAGATCACGTGTTACTTGATAAAAAAAAAAAGTAAAAAAAGATAAAAATGTTTGCAACCATTTAAAAAAAAAAAATTAAAAAAAAAGGTAAGAGAGACGCCATGAAATGCGAGTACGAGGCACATGGCACGTAACCCACCACCACCACCAAACCGTAACACGTCCATCACAAATTTTTCGTAATAAAAACTTCACGTTTCAACACAAATTTGATTGTATTAATTGAAAATAATTCACAGGAAAGAAAAAACGAAAAATAATATGTAAAAATATTTTCTAAAAGTTTCTCCCTAAAAGAAAAAAGAAAAAAAAAAAAAAAGCAAATTCAATAAATTTTTAACTCGCTAGACGAAAAAATGGATACCGGTAAAAGAATATACCGTTTATCGTTGCTTGAAAAAACAAGAAAGAAAAAAAAAAAAAAGAAAAAAGAAAAAAACAACCGTTTGCATGCACAAGCTACTGATATGAGAGAAAACGAAGAAAGAATACACCGGTAAAAAAGAAAAGACCAAAACAAAAGGAGACAAAAAAAAAAAATAAAAATGCGTGGAAGCGCACAGCAGACACGAGTTTCGCGTTCTAAAGTATTCCCCCACTCCTTGTTTTCTATATCTACACCCCCGCCATTTCTTTTTTAACACAAAGAAAAATTAAAAGAAAAATATGAAAAAACTTCTATATAAAGTATTTGCTTTAGTTTTAACTAATTTTTAATTAATCATCTTCGCGTTGTGAAGTATTTGTTAGTGTATTATATACATTATACGTGTGTACACATAAAAGATTTAATTAAGAATATAATACAAGTGAAAGAATTAAAAGTTATTAAGAATAACGAATGAGAATATAGATAAAGAAAGATAGATTATTAAGATGAAGAAAAGAGAAAGAGAAAGAGAAAGAGAAAAAGAAAGAGAAAGAGAAAGAAGAAAGGTTCATTAATTGTAGCACAGGCTGCTGCTGCTGTTAGTTGTATTGGTGACGTCGGTAGAGTACTGTGTGTAAAAGTGGTAGTGGAATGGTGGTAGGGGTATGTAGGGGGGGGAGGAGCCGAGGTAGAGCGCGTTCGCGCGACGCCGTGAAAGCGACGGGTCGGTCGGGACTCTTTTGCGAAGGCCTTGTTGCCAGTTCTCTCTATCTCTCACGCAGTACGGAACGATTCGTTCAAAAATTCACAATAATACAACATTGGCAATTCATTCGTTATATGGGGTTGTTAGGCCCAAATGTTTGTCAAAATATTTCTATTTTTATAGTTAAATTTATTCTTCCCCCTCCGCCCCTATTTTCTTTCATTATTGTTTAATTTAATGTAATTCATAAATTGGGTACAACTGTTGAGTTTTGTTCGTAACAAAAGTTATTTACAAAATTACAAATGATATGATATCGGAAAGAAAGAGAGAGAAAGAGAGAAGCAGCGCGTGTAAACGCCCTTATGCTAGACGACGGAATAACGGCAACGTCGAGAGCCGAGCGTCGATGAGTCGGCACGAAAATTCCGACGCAGGGAGAATGGGGAACTACTCTGCCCGCTTACTTGTTTGCTAGCTGGTTGGTTGGTTCATTTGACGTGCGCGCGTTTTTTTAATTTTTCAAATAACGAGAAATCAAACAAGCACGACAACAAAATGTACAAATAACAAAAATATGAGATATATAGAATGGTATATTTTTTATGCGTAAAAAAGGGGTAATTTGGTCTTTTATAATGATGATATTATAACGAAGAAGAATTGAATGTGGGAGTGAAAAAGATAAATGAATGAATAGAGAAAAAGATAAAAAAAGAGAAACATCGTCCATCGATCACGAAACGTCCGAAGAGACGAACGACGTCCGTTAGAAGAGCCACGTGACGTGCCTCTCTCTCTCTCCGGGTTGGTTGGATTAAGCGCGGTCACGGCTTTCGAACCGATCGCACTATCTTCCTCCTATAATAACCCTTCTTTGTTATTCCACCGCTCCCTTATTTTCTGTAACCAAACCCCTCTCGCTGTGAAGTCTCGAGTCGTCGATCAAGATGATACAAAAGATAAATTCGCTATCTGAGATCAAGTAGCAGTAACGAAGACAATAACGACAACGACAACGACAACGACAACAACGAAGACGACGACGACGACGAAAACAACAGCAGCAGCAGCAGCAGGAGCAGCACCAGGAGCAGGAACAGCAACAGCAGGCAGGCATACAAGGGGGATTGTGGTGGCGGACACGTACAGTTCGGTACGCGCTGGCAACTGGCGCGCCACGAGTTCATTGTCCCGTGCGTGCCCGCCGATGAAGCCCCTCGACCAAAAGGAGGGCCGGTGTCGGCTCTGTAAACTTGAAGCACTCGAAGAAATAGAGAATGTTGTTCGTCGGGAATAGGGGAAGAGAAGGAAAAAAGAAAAGAGGATTAATAAGAAAAAATAAGAAAGAAAAAAGATAGAGAGATATATAAAAAGAAAAGTAGAAATACATAAGAGAGATAGAGAAAGAAATAAAGAAAGAGACAGACAGAGGATAGAGGAGCCGTCTCATGACGAGTCCTCTTTGCAATTAACTTACCAATTATCCAACTTGATCAATTCTTCTGGTTTTTTCAACTTTCGTTCGGCCTTAAGCCTGAGCGCCTGCGGATATAATTTCAATACGTGCTCGAATTGATTAGCTGTGCCCCTCGTAAAGAAAGTTGATGAATCTTTCGCGGAAGCCATTGTGATAACTAAGCTTCGTAGAACGGCCGTTAGGGCGCAGCAACAGCGCCTCCGAGTAGCGCACCCGTCTCCGTCGCTTCACTTCCTTCACGCCACCAACTCTCTCTCTCTCTCTCTCTCTCACCCTCCCTCTTGCCCTCTTCCTCTCTTCCACCGACCTTATCTTTGTCTCCTACTATCTCTCCCCTTCTTCGCACGTAACGTCGGTGTTTGTCACACACCGTAATACGTCTCTCTCACTCTGCTGCTTATTCGCTTCCAACTCCAGCGTTGTGTTTACCGTCCTTCTCGCTCTCACGTTCCTCGATACTATATCTTTCTCTGTCACTTCCTTTCTCTCTCCTTCTATCTTCCTCTTTCTCTCTTTCGCGCTCGCACCTCCGTACACACCAACCAACCCTCCTCCCACCGCGGGAGAGGACCACGCGAGAAATCCTATTTTACCCTCTGCCTCGTTCAAATTCTCTCGGTTTCACCGGCGGCGGTGATACGCGACACACGCGTGGGACGCGTTCGCAAAGAGACACGCGCGCGCGCACACACACTCTATCGACAAGAAAAAGAGAGGACGTTGACGACGACACCACCACGACAACTCTGCTACGACTGCTAAGACGACGATGACGACGACGAATAAAGCACGTCAGCCGAACTTAACTTCGTTCTGTTTCGTTTAATTTCGTTTTCCGTAGCCTTTGTGATATATCCTCTTTTATTTTCTCTCGTATAACAAACCTTCTTCTTTCCTTTTTACTCAATAAAAATTCTTCTCAATCTCTACTTTCCTTCTCTACTAACACAATACCCCGTTGTCTCTTTTTTTTGCTTTCTACTTGTGTATCTGCTTTTCGATAGGTTCTCTTGAATGCGCCTGTTCACAAAGCAAATAAGCGCACAATAGCGAAATTAACTCGATATCAAATACGTGTTCAAATAGAATAATATATCTTTGTCTCTCTTCTGATGATAGTCGTTATTATTTAACTAGACTTTAAAATGAGCAGCAAAGACAAGTCAAAGCCAGACGACGACGCGACGAGAGTCAACTAACGACTACGAAGAGACGACGAGAACGACTAAACTGACACGAGGAGAGTACACAGACACTGATGAGAGAGGAGGAACGCGCTAAGCTGATCAGGGTAGCGGAACGAAGTCTTGCGCGTACCCTAGTCAGGGAAAATCACCGTGGTTACAAACCAAGAGCTCGCCTTCGGACCTCGTTCGACTGTCCCGGGTGGGGAGTCGCGACTCGACGTCGCCAATAGGGAGCAGCACCGCTCGGCATGTTTCTCCCCCCTCCCGCCGACTCTATCCTCCCTCTTCCCTTTCTTTCCCCCACTCCGACAACTCCAACACACCTCTCTCTCTCTCTCTTTCTCGCTCGCTCCAGCTGGCGTTGTGTCCTTCCACCACTCCTTCCTTCCACTATCCCTACCACTCCCTACTTTATCTCTCTCTCTCTCTCTCTCTCTCTCTCTCTTTCTCTGTTATTTTAACCGAAAATTTTCGTTACTACTAAACTACTACTAGTAGACTATGCACGAACGTCCATGTAACATCACTCTGAAGAGGATATAACTCTGGCGATAAATACTAAATTGATACTCGATATTACCTTCTCAAACATTCTATGAACGTGCGCAGCGCAGCGCAAGCCTTGACGTTGGGCGACCTCAGTGGCCAGATTATAACATTGTCTACTCTTTTAGAAAACCTATTACTTTCTTATACGAATATCATTTTCTAAATTTATTTCCATATATTTTTTATATTCGAAGGAATTAGATTTTTTTGTATACATATATTTTGCTTAAATTCCCTCGTGCATCTCCAATAGACAAAGAGAGAGATAGACTATGTGTACGAAGAGCGCGTGCGAATCCCGGGCCGGATGTACGCGCGAAGTAACGTGTCGCCCTGATCCCCACTCTGGGTCTCCTCTCTTCGTGTTTCCCCCACCATTCTCTGTAGCTCGACTCTCCTCTTTTTATCTTTCTCTCTCTCTCTCTCTCTCTTTCTCTTTATCTCTTTCTGGTTCTCGCTCTATACTGTGTACGCACGCTCGAGAGAAACCGAGCGGCGTACTTCGATCGGTCGCCGCGGGGGACTACTCAGCCGCGTTCACTCTTCTAGGGGTGCGGAGCAATGTGGTGGAGGCTTCCTCTTCGTCCTATTTACTCTCTCGACGAGATCGTTTCATCGGTTGTTGTGTACCCGTACCACCAGGACACTCCATACCGACGCAACGTTGTTTTTTGCGTCAACAGTTATTTCTTTCTCTCTCACTCTCTCTTTTTTCTATTTATTTTTTTCTTGTAAACGAAAACATTACAGCTGGCACATATATAGCTCTCTTTATATATATGTATTATACATATATATATGACTCTATATACCCCAGCGCAATATATATGTGTATATCTACAGGAAGGACGACTCGCATACCACTCGTTTACTTGGCCTCCGATCTATGGCCGTATTTCAAAGCGAGCGACGAGAACGGATAACGAGAGTTAGAGAGAGAAAGAGACAGAGATATAGATAGAGGTCGAAGCCGCTGCCGAAGCTGCTTGCTGCTCGTTCGTTCGTTTCGAAAAACGGGAACGCGCCACAGCAGGCTACGCGCAGTGCCGATCGCTCGTTCGTTCTCTCCTTCGGTCGTTCTAACTTCGGTTATTTTCGGCCCTCTCCGGTCCCCACTCTTGTACCACTCGCAACTCTGGCATCGACGAGCCGACTCTCTCCCCGTATATCGTTCTGCACTCCCTTCCAGCACGCCCCCTTTTCCTATCTATCTCTTTCGCTCCTTCTCTTTCTAGTGGTGGAAAAGGATACACAAACGACGGCGACGGCGACGGCGACGGCGACGGCGACGGCGACAGCGACGGCGATGACGATGACGTCGACGACAACGACGACCAAGAAAATCGCACCTTTATTTCGCTACGAAATGTATTTCTCTTATCATAGTACCTTGTTTACTTTGTTTTTCTAATTGTCTTTCAAGTTTATTTTGCAAATCTTTTTTTCTTTCTTCTTTTTCTTTTTCCTCTTTTTCTACATTTCGTAGTTTATTTCCTTGCCTAGGCTAAAGCCGTTCAACGGCAATACGCGTCAGCCAACTCTCGTCGATCCCATTGCCTTCGTCCAAGCCGAGATCGATATTAATGCCGGCGGGGCTAGAACGTACCGTCGTCGTCATAATAGACTTATACTCTCTCTATCTATCTCTCTCTTTCTTTTTCTATCTATCTATCTATCTCTATGTTCCAATAACACCAAATAACAACAACAACGATCGTTCTCGTACATCTATCTTTATATTTACTTTAATCATTTTAATAGAAATTATTTTCTCCTGACAATAATACAAATCAAAATGATTACGAACTAAACATGTAAATCTTAAATTTTGATTTAAACATTTTATTGTTTTCTATTTTTTTTTTTTTTTTAAGACACGATTAGATTTTACAAATCTTCTTTTACATTACACGAGTGGTAGTAGATGTTCTAAGCACGAGGGTTGATTCACGAAAGAGTTACCGAAGTAAATTCTTGCATGCATGCATAAAAAGTACTTTGAGTTTACTTGCTTGTACGCACGCATGCGCGTCAGTAGTCACATGACTTAATCCCTGCAAATGGGGTCGCGGAATGATCGACCCTCTCTCGGTCGCATTCTACTCGGAGCGTTTTTCAAAAAGTTATCGCTCTTTCGAAACATCTCACGCAGATAGCGTAGTCTGATATAAACGGATGGCACGATTATTTCCAGACCGGATGTCAGGACCGTTGCGAAACGTGCGATTACTTACGGAATTTCTTATTAGTTATAGTAAGACGCGTGATAGTATTCTCGCGGGATTTTCAACCATCGAAATATCCACACCGACCCTTCTTAAAATTTCATTAATAAATTCTTCTTAAGATTAAAATTAATAGGTCGTTCGTTGAAAATGTTCTCAACTCTTATGAAAGAATAAAATAAGTAAAATTGTTCAAGTAATTTTTTATAACATATAATATATTTTGAAAAATTCTATACATTTGCAATACTTATATTATATAAAATACATTTATAATTATTTATAATAACTATAAAGTTCTATAAAGCATTTGAAAGGATCAACTGAATCGATCGTCAGTAAGTCTGTCGCGCGAATAAATGTATTATACAATGTTTCGAAGGACATGGAGTGCATATCGTTTAAACGCATGCGCAAAAATGGGATGCGCGCTTGTTGGACATTATAATTGGTCGTTCGGTTGCGTTTAACGTGAAAAAAACAGAAGAGTGTCGTCGGTGGTACGATACGTAGCAAATATCGTCTCGCTTTCGTCTATAGTCCAGCTTATTGTTAGTATAGCTACTGATCTCTACTACATCTTTATTTTATTACTTACACTATCATTGCTATTGTGTAACTGTTAGTACACAGTTACTGTGAACTACTACACTACTACTTTACATTTTTATCTAGCATAGAGCACTAACGTTACTACTCTTATAGCTGATACCACACAGTTACTGAACCACACAGTTTTATTTTACTACCACACAACTTTACTGCCATTACTGCTACTACATCGCTACTACTTTTGTGTTTGCTAACGTCGGCATACACCAACACATACATATACGTTCGCTACGTCAGCATACACTACCACCACAGCAGCATTGCTGTCGCCCATTACGGCTGCTCGATGCAGCCAAGAGCGAACAGGCAGGCCTGTACGTAGTATACTCGTGGAAAGTACCGAACGTGCTGCCGGCTTATTCCTCAGTAACTTTCCATCGTATCGAGCGTAAACGAAGAAAGTTTTACCAAAGCAATGCGACAAAAATAGGAAAAATCATAAGAAATAACTATATAGATATTTTTTTTATATTACTTTTCTTTTTTTTATAATAAATTTGATTAATCATTTTACTTCTTTTTTTTATTATCCCCCATGCAGATATAACATTCCAACGTGTAGATATTATTCATTGAGTTACAATCTAGAGAAACTATTTTTTTAAAAAATAGTCAGAAAGAATTGGAATTTAAGGACCTTAAAAATTGTCTACGGTTCTTTTTAAAATCCTAACCTTGAACAGTATTAAGAACTATCTCTGTATATCTACCTGAGGAATAACAGAAAAAGATAAACGAATGAAAGACACTAAAAGATGAATTGTTAGGTTAGAAAGTTTTAAGCTCAATGGGTCTGACTCTATAGTATGCTTACAATTGTTCCTCTCGCTTGGTAAGTAGATGGCGTTGGAAACGCACGATAAATGGTGGGGATCTTAATGGCAGATGGCATTCATTTTCTTTACTTTATTCCATCGCTTTCTAGGGATGAGGGTTATTTCTTTTTAAAACTATTTGTACAAGAAAAGGAAAAAACAATTATCGTCAAAGCCATATATCAAGGAACGACACTGTTCAATTTTATTTTACAGACATTAGGTGTCCTTAAAAGAGTAGAATAGAGGATTTTCAAAGAATATCCGATTTCGAAGTTTCGAAAAAAGAATTGCCTGCAGGAAAAGGAAAGGCCAAAGGAGGGCACGTAAAGGAAGAGAAGGTAAGAATAGGGGATAGGTAGAGGGGACGGGAACTTGGTTTTCCTCTCGAGCCGATACTGCTAGTGCTGCTGTTGCTGTTACTGCTGTTGCTGCTTACCGAGCAGGCAGAACCGGGCAGACGGCCATAAGCCTCTCAATATGGCCGCCGAGACTCACCGTTATGCCGTAGAGAGCATCGTCGAACGGAGCCCTCGTGCCCCTTATACAAAAGAGAGAGGCCGGACCCCCTCTGTCCCTCGAGCGTTTGAAATTCAACCCCAACACACTGTTGGCCGCTCTGCTGCTGCTGCTTCTGCTCTTGCAGGGTTGCCAGATTGTCAGATTGTCAGGACACGTAGTGCTATTGGCTTCAGCCGTTTTATGTATCTATCTATATATATATATACATAATGTGTATATACATTTATACATAGATATATACATTCCTATAATATATATGTGTATATAAGCATACACCAATAATAACCTAATCTCACGACAACCGAAAAACGTCGGCTTGGACTGTGTGTTATCGGTCATGGTAAACCGCAGACTGCTGTGGTACTACTCTCTAAACCATGGAGAATCCATGGTTACGAGACATTATTTTATTTTTTCCCCCCACTTTTTGTTAATCTAAGGGACTCATTCGTTGTCACGTTTCGATCGTATGTACAACACAATGTTTTACTTTCTATTATTTTTCTAAAACAATTGTTTAGTCTTATGGGGTTTTTTGTTTTAATTGCTTTTGTAAAGAGAGATTTAAATGAACTAATGATAAGGACCATTGCTAAAACGAATACTATATATAAATACTGTTAAACACTTTGGTGTGCTGCTTTTTAAAGAGAGATCTATAGTCCGTTAATTATCCATTGTCAGCAACAGGTCGACCTCGACATCTACGACGACCTCGTTCAGAAGTTCGGCCACGCTTGATGAAACATTATCAAAATAATTTTAATAATATAAATACTTGACTTCTCTAAAGTCATATGCTTTCTTACATTTTTAATCCAATTACTGTAAAGTTCATATCCAAATTATTTTTCTTAACATTTGAATAAATTATTTTTAAATTCATAATTTTTCAAACATTGATATTTCAATTAGAAAAATAATATCAATCTGACCTTCAGTAATAATTAGTAAATACTATTTCAAAGTGATTGACCCTCGTTATTGGTTTTTA